TTCTACTTGGATCAAAGATCAACATGTGAATAGCAAAATTATAAAATGGAAAAGAAAATATAAAAGACTTACATATATGACCTGGGGCAGGAAAAGGATAAAAGGTCAACACATCTACTTTCATCCCTATGGTTTTTATTTCAGAAATATTTTGACGTTTCAATAAAGACTAAACCAACGTGAACATTGTCCTAGGCCAGATCTGATCATTCCAGTTCATTGATTCAACTGTAAAGAACAATTTAAACATGAAGTTTATTATGGCTTGAAGCAAAACCGGGAGGAAAACAACGAAGTAGTCTTTTTGTTGCAGAAAATAATCCATGGCAGGTGCACTTGAAATTAAATGATTTCAAAGAGCCATAATATTTCTTTTAATTTCTTCTTGTGTGTCATAGATTTGATGGAATTTTGAGTGGCTCCCAATTCTATTCCTTTCTTTATTCCGGTACTTGGCTTTATTAATTGAGCTTCACTTCCAGATGAGTCTTAACATCAGGGTCTGGGGATGCATAGCCTTCTTTCACTTTCTTCTGATGCCTCCTTGGCTTATGTTTCATTTTGGGGGGAAATTAACCATTGGGGGTGCAATGTTTCACTTTGTTCTGGATAACACCATCTGCTTCAAACTGTATCATATCATTAAGTGAATCCCATGGTGGGGTATCTGCAAACTTGTAATGCCATTCTCCTGTGAGTGGATCAAGTTCAAATAATTCACAAGTCCACTCCTCACTGTTTGTTTTCTGATCGCTGGCAGGTCGTGTTTGAGCTGCCTCTAAAACATACTTCTTTTGAGTAGCTTCTATTTGGTCTTTTGCATGTATAGCTCTAGTAACTCGCTGCCAGAGTTTCTCCTATTTAAAATCTCCCTGCTCTTCAAATTTAATGTGCCTTATTAATCTCCATTGCTTATTGTCTGGTGTTGGATTCCGAAAAACCTCTGAATCATCAGTCTTTTTGTCACTAATAAAAACTTCACTATCGGCAGAGGAACTAAATAGACACCTCTCCAAACAGGACATACAAATGGCTAAGAGACATATGAAGAAATGCTCATCATCACTAAGCATCAGAGAAATGCAAATTAAAACAACAATGAGGTATCACCTCACACCTGTCAGAATGGCCGCCATCAACAAATCATCAAACAACAGTGTTGGCGAGGGTGTGGAGAAAAGGGGACTCTAGCACACTGCTGGTGGGAATGCAGACTGGTGCAGCCACTATGGAAAACAATATGGTGTTACCTCAAAAAATTAAAAATTGAACTTCCATTTGACCCAGTGATCCCACTTCTAGGAATATACCCTCAGAAGCCTGAAACACCAATCAGAAAGAATAGATGTACCCCCATGTTTGTAGCAGCACTATTTACAATAGCTAAGATCTGGAAACAGCCCAAGTGTCCATCAGTAGACGAATGGATAAAAAAGCGGTGGTACATATACACAATGGAGTACTACATAGCTGTAAGAAAGAAAGATCTCTTATCCTTTGAGACTACATGGAGGGACCTGGAAAATATCATCCTAAGTGAAAGAAGCCAAACAGAGAAAGACAAGTATCATATGATCTCACTTATTTGTGGAATATAATGAACATAACAGTCTGAGGAATGGGGTAGTCCCAGAGATGTGGAAGTGGGGTACAGACTGACAATCCCCAGAAGAGGGGGTGGTGGGGGAGAGATAAATCACAGAACTTATATGCATGTATGCATGAACAGTGGATATGGACAACAAACTGGGGACAGGGCAGGGAGGGAGGGGGAGGGGGGAATCAATGGGGGGAAAGGAGAAACATCTGTAACAAAAATTAATTAATAAAAAAATTAATTAATTAAAAAAAAAAAAACTTCACTATCACAGTGGCCTTTCAGAGTAGCTGAGACTTCTTTTCCCAGTTTAAGTATCCCTGATATCTGATTAACAGTTGCTACTAGAAATGGTTTTAGTTTAAATTCAAGTATTGCACTGCATCCAGTTTTTTCACTTGTAATATTGACTGTTCCACCAAGCTCCAGTGTCACTGTGCATGAAGAACTCCTTTATAATGAGCATATGGCATGGTCATTACATGATCTTCACCTCTATTCAAGAAAGTCAATTGTGCTTCTCCATCTAATATTGCAGATGAGTTTTCATAGAACTTGGACTTAGGTACTACCACTGAGGCAAGATCCATCCTTTTGGTTACTAACATAAAAGGCAGATCTTGGTGGATGATGGGGCATTGGTTCAGCAATATAAAAAGGTTTTACTGTTTGTTCTGGGATGAATTCACAAATGACGGAAAGTCTTACCAAGTATAGGATGATAAGGTTTCTTCAGTGCCTTTGGCTTTTTATAGAATCCTGACAAATACCATTTCACTACTTTCTTCAAATGAAAATAAGGATTTTCTGCCCTGGCCGGTTTGGCTCAGCAGTTGGAGCGTCGGCCTATGGTACAGAGAGATCCGGGTTCGGTTCCCGCTAAGGGCACGTACCTCGGTTGCAGTTTGTCCCCGGCCCTGGTTGGTCGTGCGGGTGGCAGCCACTCGATGTGTCCCTTCATGTCGGTGTTTCTCTCTCTCTCTCTTCCTCTCTCTCCCTCTCGCTCTATCTGAACAAAAAATGGAAAAATGTCCTCGGGTGAGGATAAAAAAAAATAAAATAAAATAAGGATTTTCTTTAAGAGCATCCTCAGATAGGAAATCTGCATGATAGTAGTAATCTGAACATTTATTCAGGAAAGACCGAGGTTCCAAAATAAATATAGGCAGAACCACCCTGGACAGGTCCATGCCAGGACAGACTTGTTTCAGCAGTATCCAGATAAGACTTTTATTTTCTTCAGACAGTTTCTGTTTGAAAAGCCTCCCTCGCCTCTCCCAGTACCTCATGGCTCTATTCAGTGTAGGCTGTCTCTTTTAAAGGTTCGAAGTCTCAGGTCCATATATGAGTCATCTTGCCTTTCTAATGTTATCAGTGTCCTTTTCCCACTTTTCCCCATCACCTAATTGTCAGACTCATCATGCTCTTGATCATTTTCTTTATTGGATTTGTCAGAAAACATACTGTGGTCCTTAAAATGCTGTCGTTCAATTTTAGTACCATTTAACTGGAAGCTGTCACCACTCTGGAGATTGTTAGCACATAATAAGCCACACAAAGTCACAAGTGTGTTCTCTGATGAAATGCTCAATTCATGTTCCTGTTCACTGTATGTTTATGAAGACTAGAACATTTCAAAACCAACTCCAAAGCATCCATCCAACACCTTCCACCTGACCATGAAGTAGCTTGGATGATCAAGTAACTGTTAAGTAAGGGCTGAGTTATGGATCCAACTGCTTTGCCTTTTAGACCCTTGACTGCCCAAATAGACTGCTCCAAAGGATGAAAACGTTTGAAACAAAAGCCATCCTTGTTTGATGGACACTCAGTAATTTCACAGGCATTCAGAAGGACTGTTCCTACCTATTGACCATTTTAAGGGGGTTTATAGATCAGTAGCACCCCTGATTTGGACACACACCAAACTTGGTCCAGCTCTTTAGAGTACCACAAATCTTCAACCAGTCAGCCATAAGAATAACAGAAGGATCTGTGAATGTACTAACTCCTTTATGGCTCTTTCCTTCTCGGTAATTTTTTTTCACCTTGAGAGATTCTTTTTCTGTGTGAGCTTGCTCAAAGCTGAACTGTCCTTCTCCAAGCCATTTTGAAGTTTAGATTCAGACTTGCTTTTTGACATAGAAAGTGAAGAATCATCTTTATTTTAAGAAATATCTTCCTTTCCTCTTTGAAAACCCTGGCTATGAGGACTTGCTGGACTAAAAGACTGTTGATACCAATCTTTGGTTGGGTGGCATCATCTTCTTTCCCTTGGTGCTGACTTATCTTTCCTGGTGTCAGAAGTTGAGATTCTTCACTGCTACCACAATTGATGGCCCAATGACATTTTTGCTATCACCAAGTGTCTCCACCTTTAACAACTTCTGAATATGGCAAGTTTGAAGTTCAGTCAACTTCTCCATCAGCAAGTCTAACTCTAGTGAAAGAAAATAGGTTTATGCTTCTCTTTCCATTAATGTTTAGACATCCTGTGAATCTGGAGATCCGGTGTGTAGCCCCCAGATGGGTGGAACGCAGAGGGCCCGTTCCTCTGGTGCCCTGCATGTGTCAGGTCCGACCTCAACTTCTCCGGGCCGCTGTCCCTGGCAGCCAGTGGGAAAAGAGCTGAGACTGAGGGTGCTGTGTCACCACTGCAGAGGCTGCTCTACCCTCCAGGGGGCAGGAATGCTGGCCCCCATCTTCCTTCAGCCTGCAGGATGGTGGCAGGGCTGTGCCTTGGCCAAAGCTAGTGCTACAGCCGCTGATTCAACATCTTTATGAGATTATGCACCTGCTATTGGTACATAATGGTTTTTCAGAGTTGTCTCTGTATTTACTTGGAAAATACATTGTCACTGAAGTGGTCATCAGTGAAATATTTAATTTGATGATACAGCCATTTGTGTCTGTACACTGCTATTCAGTGAATTAACTAGATAGGCCTAGGAGACTACCGCTCTTCTATTTTCCACTCTTCTCGAAGTAAGATGTTAGAAGTTTAGATAAAATAGGTATATCAGAAAATTCTCACTATTGCCCATGGGTTCAAATTAAAATACCAAGGATTTAAATTTTATATCTTTGAAATGATACTTGTTATTTTCCTATCCTAATGACATACAATTCCTCAAATAAGGAAAAGTGAATTGAAACAATGCATCTGGTAGTTGACACAATACAATTGAAGTGAATTGGAAGAAAACATTTTTCAGGAGCAAGAAAAAGTTACCCAAGGGGAATAGAAAAGTAAATGTTAACGAAGTACATTTTATTTTTGGAGCAAAGCAATGTAAAATACACACATGCTGATTTGCTAAGTGAGGAGGGGCCAAGGGAAGATGAATGTGTCTTTAAAGTTTTAATCAGATATTTATTTTTAAAATTTAAACTTTCTTGGCAGGTTTAAATCCAGATAAGCATCTTGGAAAAACTCTGGATCAAATGGAGCCTTATCTCTTAGAGGTAAGAATTTATACTACATGTTTCTCAGAATATAGGCATCTAACAGATGAAAAAATAGTGACATGTTATGATAATTATGAAGTCAATTTTATTCTGAAAAAACTCAGATACATTCATGATACATTTTAATGAAAAACAAACTTCCAATGGGTATGACAATATCTAAAATTAATTATAAAAGTATTACCAGTTTGTTGGCCTGAATATAAACATAAGCTGTATCTAAAAAGAAATTGTTCTGTCAGAAAGTTTACTTTCATTAAAATAGACATTTTTGCTTTATAAAAAGTCCTATCCTACTGAAGTATCTATTAGTCATTGTGATTAGATGTTTTTTCATCAGAAAGGTGAATAGAGACTTCCTTTAGAGAATATCTCATTTAACCTCTTCTCTTTTACCAATTAGGCCATTAATTTGTGGAGTAGTTAAGATGTTATCCCAAGATTTCAAGTTACACTTGCTTAGCCCTTACAGTTGTCAAATCCTAAATGTGTTATAAACATTACAGATTCAAATATTTTCACTCTTTTCTATTAACTATATAGAGGTGGGCAAAAGTAGGTTTATAGTTGTGAGTACTTGAAACAGAGTTTATTCTTGTATTATTATTAATTATTGTATTATTGTATTGTTTATAGTTTATAACTATAAACCTACTTTTGCCCACTCTGTATTTTACTCAAGTTTTGGGACAAATGTTATGAATAGTATGGCAGTATTTCATGAACTAGAAAAGTTTAATTATTGGAGTTTTTATTTCACAATTAGATGGAAGAAAGCAAATCACCCTACTTTTATGAAAGAACTGATCTCCTTTAATAAGTTCTTATGTTCCCCTCCCAGACTCTCAGTTCACCAGCATTGTTAATACCGTTGCTGCGATGTGAACTGTCAGCAGTTATTCTGTTCACCAATTTTATAGCTTTCACATTTCCTTTGAGTTATTTGTATTTGATTATTTTATGATTTATCAATATGTATCAAATGCTTAGAAAGCCCTAAAATGTTAATTCATTTGCTCTTTCGTTAAGTGTTATTAAGCACCTAATATGTGCCAGGCAAGTAGTAAAGATTGAAACTGAAATTATTATATAATTATGACAAATTATGTTTGATTTCTAGACAATTTGGTGTCATTTATTAAGTCTACTGGACATGGTTGCTTCCCATGCCCTGCTGAATGCACTCTTATTACAGTGATTTTTCTATGGCCAGTGTTGTATCTGTGGTGACATCTTTAAACAAGCACTGGGCAATTCTGAAAAAGTGATTGAGAATATCATCTCCGGTTCTTCAATACCAACAACACACTTCAGGCCTTGTTTTTCCAGATTTCTCTGAAAGAGTGCATACCTTCTTGAAACTGACATCCATTGGTTTCCATGATACCATTCACTTCTGAAACCTTTCTGAGTACTTTGTTAGCTCACTTTGAGGCTTACCATATATATATTCCACCCCCTATACGTTCTGGTTCCATCCACAACCTTCCTCCTGTGGTGATGTTAAATATTCTCATGACTTCAACTGCAAGTTTTATTCTATGACAATTAAGTCTGTTCTTCCATTGCCTTCATATGCTCCAGTCATGTGTTTTCAGCTGCCATTGGAGCCTTCCTTTCTTAGATGTCCTCAAGCACCTGAACCTTACTTAAGTGCAGAACTGAACATTTCTTTCCTGACATTGAAGGGTCCCATTGTCTTCTCAGTTGTCCAAGCCAAAAAAAAATGTGAATTGTAATAAATGATTTTACATATTCCATCATTCATTAATAAGGCCCCAAGTTTTTTTAAATTCTGACTTCTTAATATCTTATTATCCATCCCTTTTAATCCTTATTGTCACTACATTAAGGTCTACCCTAGGTTATTGCAGCAGTTTTGTTTTTTTTAATTGAATTTATTAGGGTTACCTTGGTTAATAAAATTATATTGGTTTCATGTATATAATTTTGTAGTATACCATCTGTATATTGTATTGTGCTCACTACCCTAAGTCAAACTACTCCAAGTCAAGTCTCCTTCCATCATCATTTATTCTCCCATACCCTCTTCTACCTCCTCCACCCCCTTTCCCATACTGTTGTCTGTGTCTACGATTTTTTTTTTTTGCTTAATCCCTTCATCTTTTTCATCCAGTCCTACAACACCCCTCCCCTGTGACAACCATCAGTCTGTTCTATATTTATAAGTCTGTGTCTGTTTTGTTTGTTAGTTTATTTTGTTCATTAGATTCCATATATGAGTGAAATCATATGGTACTTGTGGTGTTATTTACAATAGCCAAAATTTGGAAGCAGCCCAAGTGTCCATCAGTAGGCAAGTGGATAAAAAGGCTGTGGTACATTCACACAATGGAATACTACCCAGCTGTATAAAAGAAGGAAACCTTATCCTTTGTGACAGCATGGATGGACCTGGAAATAAGTCAGTCAGAGAAAGACAAGAGTGCAGCAATCTTATAGCTCAAGTCTGTCTCCTCCCTGCCTTACCCCTTGTCAATCATTGTCCATAGTACTGCTATCATAATATATATGAAATGCAAATTGGATCATATTATATTTTTCTTGAGTCATACCCCATTGCCTCAAAATAACATGGCACAGTCTGTCCTTGGGAAAATGAGGTTTATAAGACAGCCAGTCTCCTACATCTACCCTATCCTTAATAAATTTAGAACAATTGATGGTTTTCCTGGAGTGAGTATCCCCTTTTACTTGTATATTCACTTCCCTTCTCTGCATGCTTCTCTCTCCTTCACTTGACTAAGTCCATCCTGTCCTTGAAGTGTAAACTCAGAGATTAATACTGTGAGGTTTTCTGGTTTAAGTAAGCCTCCTTTGGCTGCCATTTTCTTCTTTGCTAGTATGTAGCACTTGTCATGTTATATTTTATTTTTCTCTTAAATAATGTTTTTTATAAAATTTAGGCATGTAATATATAAAAAATGAATTCAAACACTATAAAATAATGACAAATCTTCCACTGTATTAAAGTCCCCAGGTTTTCTGTTCTTTCCCAGATCAACCACTCTTATGTATTCTAATATATCTCTTCAAAAAACATTTTTGCATATGTAAATATATATACATGTGTTTATTCATTTTGCCTAAATTAGAACATAAAAATACATTATTTTCTGTCTTCCACTTTAACACATGAAAACCCTGGTCATTTGTCTCCACAACATCATTGCGTTCTATTACATAGATACTATAATGAACCTGTTTTTTATTAATGGACTTTATTCTTTACTGATATCTCTTCTGTCTTTTGCTGTTACAAATAATGCTAGATAAACATTATTTTATATATGCTTTGGGGCACGTATGAGTTTTTCTGTAGGATAAGATCCTAGAATGGAAATTCTGGGTCAGAGGATATATATGTTTTTAATTTTAATAGATTTTGTTGAAAGTCATTTTCAGCTTTGATGGAATAACTTGCATCAGACAAACTCTCTGAATACAAACAACTAGAAAAGTTGTATGAACTTAAAACAAAAATAATATTGGACGGCATTAAGAAAGTATAAAAACCGAGATAATTTGAATGGTCAGAACTGCAGAGAGAATGAAAGCCCTTCGCATTATCTCCTTTCCCCTCAAGGCACTTTCTGAGTAAAAATAATTCAGGGGTGCCAAGAAGTTGCAGCAAAAACTTCAGCTGAGAAGCTGAGTAGGGCTTTCAGAAGCTTAATAGGGCTGTGGATACTGCAGTTAGAACTCAGGACGAACCGAATTGGAGTGAACCTGGTTAGCGCTGCAGGTTTTCAGGTGGAGTCTTGAATGGGCTGTACCTTAAGAAGAAAGGCAAACTGGAAATAGTCCCATTCTTGCAAATACTTATATCTAACTTTGAATCACATCAATCCCAGACTGAATTAAAGAAATCTAATCCTACTCTTACTGACCATTTCTCTCTTGAGAAAAATGAGGTGATTCAGAGCCTCAGATTATATCTAAAATATTTCGCATGCAATTTGCAGCAGGCAATCCGAAATTACCAAGCATATCAGGAGACCTGACGAGATAACTGAAAGTGAGAGAAAAACACACAGTAGAAACACTAGAAACAGGCTCAGGGGATATTCATATAATACAGTTATCATGTTTAGACTTTAAAATGACTGAACTATTTTAGGGGAGACTTTGAATTTACATAAAAGAATCAAAGAGAGTTCCAGAACTTAAAAATACAGTACCTGAAATTAAGACTACAATACATGGGTTTACCAGTAGATTTGATACAGTTGTATAGACAGTTAAAGAACTGGAAGGTAGGGTGATGGGGATGTAAAATATCCAGACTGAAGCACAGAGAATACAGGATGGAAAATAGAGAAAAGATGATAACAGATGTGAAGGAGAGAACTTTATTATACTTGTAATTGGAGTTGCAGGAGTGAAGAAGAGGGAGAACAGAAGATGTGTGAAGAAATTTTACTGTAGAACCTAGCTGTGCTTATTTTTGCTGATTTTGGCAAGTATCTTCTTTCTAAAGGAGATGGATGAATATTGATGGACAATTTATATTTTAAACTGGATTTTTCCCAATAGTTGTCTTTTTCTTTGGCTTCTCCATAGTCTAATCTGTGTGTCCATGAGCTCGCCATAAAGTGGGTGCTTAATAAATTTTTACAGTTAGTGTTTCTCATCTTTCAAAACAGCTTGACACAACCCAGATTTTAATTCATACTACCCAGGTTTTTTGCCCTCTTCTTTTTTCCCTTCAATTTTGCATATACTCACAAAGGTGGAATCAATCACTTGGCTGATGTACCAAGAGAACAGTGATTCTAGTATAAAAGCAAATTAATCATCAGTCAAACACTATCATCTTTCTGCAATTAGAGGGTATAGTTTTAACTTATTACCTTAGATTCTCTCTTCTGCATTATTGCCTAAGACAAATCAGATTTTAAGGTATGCCTATATCTCCTTATCTTTATGAATAATGGTATTAACCTCATTCAGTGAGATAAAAGATCAACCACATA